ATCCATGTGCCAAGTTTCATGAAAATCCAATGAGTGGTTCTTCAAATATCAGTGGAACAGTCTTGGAAAAGCTAAAAATCAGCTAATTATCATGCAAATTAGGTAATTAATATTCATAGATTTTTACCAAAACCTAATCAACTCTGCGCATTATCCCAGAGCATCTATGTACCAAGTTTCACCAAAATTTGATTAGTGGTTCTTGAGATAACGGTGGAACAAAAAAAAGTGACATACATACATACATACAGACAGACAGGGTAACTGCAAAGACTCCCTTTTGTGCTTCGCACACGGGAGTCAAAAATGAGGTGCAACTTGATGAAGATTTTATACAGAGCAGTGTATAATAGCGTATGACAGAAATGCACAGCAAACTCAACTCGGCTAACTACACTACAGGGATGGGTGATATCGTGCACACTGCACAAGGAAATTGATACAACAAATGTGCCATAGTAAGTTTACTGCAATATTTCACAACTTTGACAAATAAAAATTCATCCAACTAAAACTTTTTTTAAATGGTTGTAATGCTTAGTTTTTTTACAATATGGTAGTTTCAAAGCTACAAGTACATGTTATTTACAGATTCAATTCATTGGTATAAAAACACAAACTCAATGTCACCGACAGACCACTGTTATAACTGATATATCTGCATTGCTCAATCTCACTAAAATCCAATGTACATTAGTAGGCATGGGATCCAGCCACTTTCTGTCTGATAATTTTTACACCAAACACATGAAGTCAGGCTGAAAGGTCTCTAGAATTTGTCAATGAATCACAGGATGTCATCTTCTAAAACAAAACCAAAACGCAGTTTACAAGTTTTCCTTATTGAACCCTATTGTCAGAATGTGGTAGGCGTAACCAGCTTGGTTACGCATTGATTTAGATTTCAAGTCAACATTATCATATTCAGTTTGATTCAAAATTTGTATGAAAACAAAACAACTCTAGAAATGAACTGATCATACACAATACAAACACCATTCAGAGTTATTTTAGTTTTTCAGTGAGTTATCAAGACAGATTCATTAAAAACATATAATGTGTATAAATAAAATGGCAGATATATTTGTAAACAATGAAAGCCATGAAATATTAAAAATGAAATTACTGATGTACAAATTTATCTTCAGAAAATACCTTTATCCTTGAAAACAGCCCCTCTCAAAGGTCCGAAAAATGAAATCGGGTTAAAATTTAAATGGATGGAATTGATTCTTCTTTACACAGATGCATGACTGAAATGTTACTACACTGACAATTATTTCTCCCTTTTTCTCAAAGGGGTGTTAAACTGATTGGCAGGAACAAATAACTCTGGCCTTTAATATACATGTTAAGTGGTTGCTTTTACTAAGATTTACTACTATTTCTGAACTTTTATACATATCTGAAAATACACCATTGGATTACAAAAATAATTTGAAGATCTAAAATGGTTTGAAGATTCAGACTGATTGCAATAAATTGAGATTCAGCTATGAGTTGCTGTTTTTCTTCTTAGAATTCCGTTTGCTGGCATGTTTATTTAGGATAGAAACCACTTTGCTCTTGTGTTCAAACACCTTCAACATGCTGTGCCTGGCTTCTGACATCTGTTCCATTGCCAGCTGAGATCTCTGTATATTGCCCTGCAATAATTTGATTCAAAAAAGTCAAACTAATTAGATTTTAGCACATTGTAAACCTTTAAAATCTCAACAAGGTTAATGTGCAACCTTGGCAGACTGAACTGGAAATCTGTACTTACCTGTACAAGTTCTGATATTTGTACCATTTCATCTTCTGGTACAAGCTTACATGGTCTAGATCCAAGACCTTCTTTGATTTCTTTCATTTTGTCAAATACTTCCTGTTCTAGAGTGGTCTAAATAGATACAAAAAAGAGCAAGGACATTATTAAGTTTCATAGTAATCACCTAATTAGAATGTC